TCTATGGTTTGTAAACTAAAATGCACCTTAACATTTTCTATCCAAATTAACAAGAAGTGCATTACATGCACCTATATTTCCAAAGAACAGGGGTTTATGTGCACATAACCTAGATTACTTGGGAAAAAGTAAAGGATTTCGTTCAAAAGAGAAAAAAAAAAAATATATATATATATATACATACATCTAAGGGTATTTAGGCCTTTATAAGTACCGTTAATGGAAGTTCATGATACAGTTTAGTTCACAAAGGGATTAAGTGGTCATTTTCAAATGAAATGTGAGGAGCTTCTATTTGCACACACTCATTCCCCTCTTTACACATCTTTTTCAATAAACAATTGGTTCGGAAGTAGCACTCCGAAAATAAACAACTTGTTCGGAAGTAGAGTTCCGATTTTTTTTTTTCATTTTTTCGACATTCAACTTCCGAATGTGTTTATTTAATGTCCATAATAGTAATTTCACTTGAAAATAAAATTATAATAAAAATAATTTTTATTAAGTATGTGTAAAGAGGGGAATGGGGATGTGCAAATAGAAGCTCCCTGAAATGTGGGTTATATCCTAAGAAAGTGACATGACAAGGACATATAAATTTTCAAAAAACATAGGTTACGATGTGTAGGAGACACATGCAAAATATATAATTTTTTATACTTATTATATGTCATATTTAAATATTATATATTTATTCTAAATCAAATAATTATTTTCATCAAATTCATCAATCTTGAGTATACTACTCAACTGAAAAACAATAAAAAAATAAAATAAATAAATTTGGGAAATCACATGTCCCCCAGCATGTCCCTAGTGCGTCTCCAACTTATTCCCACCATATCCAACTGAAAAATAAATAAATAAAAATGGGACACTTCATCCAGCGTGTCTAGTGCATGTCCGTGTCGGACACCAGTTCACAACCTCCAGAGAGGTATGCATGGCTTCATACACTACAAGAATTTACACAATTGCCGACCACTTTTGCCGACCAAAAATTTTTTAGTCGCAGAAAAATGACATTTGGCGACCAAATATTAATTAGTCGCGAATGATCGTTATTTTTGGTGACCAAATATTATTGGTCGCAGAAGGTTATATTTTGGCGACCAAAAAATGAGTTGGTCGTAGAAAGTGGTATACTTTTGTCGACCAACTACAAATTTGGTCGCAGAAGGTCATATATTTTTTAGCGATCAAAAATTTGGTCGTCAAAAACTTATTTTCAGCAACCAAAAAAAATTAATCGCCAAATTAGTACTTTTAGCGACTATTATTTTAGTCGCCGTTGATTGAGATTTGGGGACTAAAAAAGTTCGTCGGCGAAAGTACATTTTCTACGACTAATATAGTCTTTTGGTCGCCAAAAATTTGGGGGGATATTTGAAACATGGAGGGGGAAATGAATACCAATTCGTAAGAAATGAGATTATCCACTCCCGCCACTGCCATACGGGAATGGCTCTTTCGTTCACCAGTATCTGGCCCTCTCTCAACCCATACGCATACATCATTTTGAATCTGAGCCCTCTCTCTCTCTCTCTCAACCCTCTCTGAGCTCCATCGAAGCAATTTCGGAGCTCCATCGAAGCTCCAGATCGAACGGATTTCGAAGCTCCGTCGAAGATTCAGATATTCGAAGCTCCATCGAAGCTCCAGATCGAACCGATTTCGAAGCTCCATCGAAGCTCCAGATCTGAACTCTGACCCCTCGATTACTCGCATTTCAAGTAATATGCACATTTCGACCCAATTCTTCCTTTCCCAAGCCGCTCGACTCGGTACACTTTCGGTGAGTCCTCTCTCTCTCTCTCTCTACTTAGATATGTCCATGTATCTGTATATGTATTTGTTGATTATGTTGATCTTTAGTCTTTACAGCTTACCATGTAGAATATGAGATGTTATTAAAGTAGAGTTCAATGGGTTACTGATGATTTCCACATCTGAATTTGTGTTCCTTAATTAAGTGTATATGTATATATGTGTTTATTTTATTTTTTTATTTTTTTTGTATAGACACAAATTGGTGAATTTTGACAGTGTTTGTTCTTCAACTTGTAATTTGGTGATCATCTAATTCTTTATACCTTTCTTTGTGATTATTTGTTTTTCCTCACTGTCTCTTTCTTTCACACAAAGTGTTTGATAAAATGCCAAGGTGAAATTTATATAATTTGTTGGACTTGAAACTGATGCACACTGTGTATTATGTAACAATGAGAATTTGCTGAGAAATGAAGAAGAAATGGTTGAGTAGTGGAATGTGTATATATGAGCAGATCAAGTGAAGAAAAAGAAAGAAAACAGAGCTTCAAAGAAGAAGATGAGAAATAATTCTTATTTTCTGCAGATTCAATACATCACAACTTCACATAATATATTTCTTGATTTTCTCATCTCTCTCACACCCCTTTTTATAGCAGATTTTCTCTCACATTACAATTCATAGCTAATTAACTGCCAGTTGGTTATACTTCTAGTAGGGTTTTTTCTTTTTCTTTTTTCGGTTGATAAATACCTCTAGTTTGTCTTCTCTCCATTTGCCATGTCATGTAACAACCCAACAACTAAGAATAGTTCTATCAATTTGCCATGTCATGAAACCATTCTATCAATTGAGTTAAGCCTAATACTAAAACCTGGAAGCAAAAAAAAAGTTTTGTTTGGCAAAGAGTTCTGTCTACTCCATTGTCACCAGGAGTGGGTTAACTAAGACCATTTTGAGCAGTTTATCTCCAGGGAAAGAATTCATCTGTAGACTGTAGCATATTTGAATTTTGTGACTGTGCCTAAAGTTTGACTCTTTTTGTGATTATATCATTGAAATTGACATACGCCTCCCATGAGGTCCTCTTGCATATTGTGTTGAAGCTCAAAGAAAAGCACCTTATTTGGCTTCAATAAGCGATCCCTTGAAACTTTCAATGTGCTACTTCTTCATAATTATTTTCACAATTGGTTTTTGTTTGTGGTGGCTAAACATCTCTCCTATACCTCCTAATTTTTGTGGGAGTACACAATATTCTATTCACTAGAAATTTTTTTAGCCTTCGTTATCCTTCCCAAACAAAGGAAACTTCCTTGGCAACATCACGATTCTATGGGTGGGTGATGAGACCACCCCTTTGGAATCACAAATCTGTTCATCATTGAATAATGAGTTTATTCATCATCATAAGGTATATTACATGATATTTTTTGTGTATCTATTGTTATAGGGCAACAAAAAATCTTTGCGTGTTAATGAGCCATAGTTTCAAAAGCATTGGAAGCTTTAACTTGTTTTGAAGAAATATAATTTTTAATATGATCATTGGGCATGGAATTAACTTACATATCATCTTCTTAAATGATACTTGGCAATATTATTAAGGTCGGACTCTTGGCCTCATGGTGACTTGGGCTTGTAAAGGTGTCCTACAATGTGTTTAAACACCATTGGATGCATTACCTATGTGCTCCTTTTTGTTTATTACGTCTTTTCTTTTCTGTCATTTATATGAATTGAATGTTGTTTGTAAGTTTGTAGTTTCTGCCTTGTAGGTTGAGCAGTTGCATAAAATTTTTAAGCTTTGTGGCTCACCCTCTGAGGAATACTGGAGAAAGTCAAAGTTGCCTCATGCTACCATTTTCAAGCCCCAACAGCCTTATAGACGCTGTGTTGCAGATACATTTAAGGACTTCCCTGCACAAGCCTTAGAGCTTATGGAGACCCTACTTTCCATAGATCCTGCTGATCGTGGTTCTGCAGCTTCTGCTCTACATAGTGAGGTATGAACTATGAAGTTTCTTAAAAGTTGAATTTTCTGGAATGCTCTTGGTTCTCTTGAAGATTTACCCTTTTCTATGGCTGACTTTGGGAGCACTAAGTTAAAATGATGTGAACAATAGGCATGTCACTTGCCTTCCTGTCAATTTGGATAGAAAGTATAACATCTACAATTTAATCCAAGAGTATGAGGGTAACTTTATTTAAGAATCAGGAACATGAAGTGCTTAAAGGGCAAACCACAAGGGGTATGCTGAGAAAATTGAGGTCCACTTCAGCGTTTGTTAATCTAGTCGATTTGAAAAATAAAATACCAACATTTTGCAGCAAATCGCTCCCAATGTATTGATCTTCTTAAATTGACACATGCCATTTCTGCTACAGGTATACCTCAAGTGAGAACACTACTAGCTTCTGTCGTTCATCTCAGTTAAAATTTGCTGATTTCTCATTCAACTTCTTTGTTGGGAGCATTCCCAAGTGCTTAGATTACCTTCCAAGGTACTCTTTTGAAATACCTTCAATCTGGATTGTTTTTGTTTCCTAAACTTTTCATTACATAGTTTAATTCATGCAGGTCAAGCTTTCAAGGGAACTGCCTTCAAGACAAAGATCCCAAACAGCGCTCTACTGCACGATTTGGACTTCTCATTGCTCTCCAAAGATGCAAAAGCAAAACCTCCATCATCATCCCTTGGAAGAAATCCTCAAGTGACAAGGATCACATGACGATATACATAGGTAAGCTCTTTTATATCTTCCACATTGCATCTTAAGAAGCATGGATTCGGACATGCCAACATGAAAATCTTCACAAATGTTTCCCATGACATGACACATGGGAAACACACACAAAATATATTATTTGTATTATTATATATATATTTATACATTTATTATATGTTATGAGCACCTCCATTGTAAGAGTAAAGCTTGTTATTTCTAATAATTGTAAGAGAGCAATGATGAATCTATTGCTTTTAGGATTTGCAATGATATACTTCTTTCTTTACAAACATATACTTTTAAGAAGAGGGATAAACATTTAATAATTAATTGCATTTGAAAGTGGAGTGAAAATTAGTCAAATAGATTTCTTTTCTTACTAGGATACTTGATAAAAGAACATTTAATAATTAAAACTTATTAATTATTGAAGTTTATGAACTTATTAGGTAATTATTAAAGGGTTGACCGTGCTTTTAAAATATATAATTTGTCTTCATGCTGGACTCAATTTCTTTTGGTTGATTGTTCCTTTTAGTAGTCTACCACTCAAATGTACTTATATTCTGTAGACCAAAGGCTAAATCTCCACCTCAAGATGCTTTACTAAAACTGGAAACAGAGCAAACTTTCACTGAACTATCTCAAGAGAGCTCCATGTTTGTTTTTAAGCTGGGTTTAGTTAAGCTCCAATGCTGCCTCTTGATGAATGGGCTTGTTGTTGATGCTAATGAGGTACTTGCTCGAATCTCTTGTTGCTTCTTCTTCCTCCATAATAATATATTCTTCTATTTTCTTAGCTTTTGTCTTTGACTGTGGTAAGATTTCATTTAAATTTTGTTTGTTTTTTGTAGATTTCTGTCAGCATGTCGTATATGCTCTTACAAGAGATATGGGTTCTTAAGTTGGATTCTTCATGATCTCCCATGACCATTAGCACAAGAATGACATATTTAGTTTAGAAGGCAAAGTTGATTATTCTTCTTTGTAACTTTACATATGATTGGCTACTTTTCTTCTCTTTTACTTTTGATCCCTGGTTTTGTGACTCTCTTCCAGGTAAATCAACCCTTTAGCCTTACTAGGCTTCTGTCACTCCTAGTTTTCAAAATTTGTAAAGTCTTACGTCTCATGAACGATGAAAGGGATGTGATGAATCATTGTGTCATTCACATCATGGATGATGCTTTAAAATTATACGTTTATTATGGATTGAATGAATTATTAGGAATTACACGTGTATTGTTTTCCTTCTTTTGGCGACTAATTTATTAGTCGGGACAAATAAATAATTTTTTTTTGCAAAAAATGACAATTGCCGACCAAGAGTTTTGGTCGCAAAAAATACATATATTGCCGACCAAAACAGCTCTTGGTTGTGGAATCTCACTTTTGCCGACCAAAAGTTTTGGTCGCGAAAAGACACAAATGGCGACCAATTTTTTTGGTCGCGAAATGTGATAATTGGCGACCAAAAAATTTGGTCGCGAAATGTAATAATTGGCGACCAAAATTTTTGGTCGCGAAATGTGACAATTGGCGACTAAGAAATTTGGTCGGGAAAATATCACTTTTCGCGACCAAAGTGTTTTGGCGACAAAATAAATTAGTCGCGGTAATTAAATATTTAGCGACCAAAAATTTAGTCGCGAAATCCAACTTTTGCCGACCAACCAAAATTTTGGTCGCGAATTACTTTTGCCGACCCTCAATTGGCGACCAAAGTAGCGACCAAAAAAATTGGTCGCAACTTTGGTCGCCAATTGAGGATCGGCAAAAGTAATTCGCGACCAAAATTTTGGTTGGTCGGCAAAAGTTGGATTTCGCAACTAAATTTTTAGTCGCTAAATGTTTAATTACCGCGACTAATTCATTTAGTCGCTAAAACCCAACCTGGCTGCCCAGGCTAGAATACTTTCCGGGCGGAATAATTCGACTAAACACAAAGCATGGGAGAGTGATGGGGACTTCAAATTCAGATCCAGGTTGTCCAGGGACAACACGAGATTGATTGTCCATTGTATCTCGACGTAGTCCCGCAACTTTAACCCTACTTTGTGGGTGGCGCGACGCGTCGGAGTTGCCACCTTGGCTGAAAGGCAATTTCTTCCACCTCGTGCACCAGATGTTGGAATATACCCTCACGGAAGGTGGTAGCTATAAAATTTTTTGGATAATCTCAGTCAATCCATCCACCGCCGAAGGGTGTTACCGTACACAGTTCTTGGAAATATCGAGAAAGACATGGCACGCAAGAGGTATGTGTATCTGTATCAGGGTTTACTTTGGCGAGGCTCGTACTTCGTACAAAAACATGCTTGGCTGATCTGTATCGGTATGTCGGGGTATCGTATGTCACCGCGCGCACTAATCAGGTAATAACCTCTGTACAAGAACAAAGCTTTCAACACACATCCCGATCCGCGGTTGACTGGGGAATGCGGATGAAGATAGTGGCCGAAAGCATTCGCAAAAGTATCGGCCGAAGTTGCTGCACACACCCGCATACCTTGGCTTGGGTTTATTCTGCCCACTCAAATATGGATTGGGTAGAGGAAGCAAGGGAAGTGGGCACTGCGAAGACAGAGAATAAAGAACCAGAGCACAGAAGCAAAGCAGAGAAGCCGATATGAGTTAATGCACCGGCACCCATTCAGTAGAGGCTTTACCCTCTATATGATACTACTAGTTCCGTCTGGGGGAGGGGGGAAGGTTTCATTCTACGGACTTTCCCATGAGCCATGTCTGAAATGCGGGAGAGGGAAGCCGACAATGCCAGGTTCTGAGATCTTCTTCGACCTGCAGTTAATGCTGAGATGAATGTCTGACCGAGGAGCAGACAGACCCATCATGCCTTAAAAGGTATTAAGAGTTTGAGCAGGTGTAAAAATGTGGTATTCGGAAGAATGCTGAAACAAAATATTGGGCTGGTAGCACTGGCTTGTCTTACTTTCAAATCCCCAAGTTCGCTATACAAGTGTGGGGAAAAACCTGTCTCGCTGTCTCCATGTCATTGGGTAATGATTAATGCGCTGCGAGCGCCTCTACACTGCAACGTACTTTGGCTAGCATTCTCCCTATCGTCACTCCCTCTTCAGTCTTACCAGCGTATGAAGAGATGATCTCTGTGATGTCCAAAAGCATGTACCAGCGGCGTGCAGTGTCAATTGAGTCGTTCGGGAATTCTAACTTTTCAGCTGAGTCTGTGGGAGTTCGGTGTAATCGAAGTATATAGCCAAACTCGTGTAGAGGCATCGGGTATCTCAAGACTGGCGGTGGATTAACCCGAGATGCCACAGTCACTGTGTCTTAAAGTCATCTTAACTTCATCTTCTCTCGTTAGGAGTCCTTTTCATCAGAGCAGAAAGAACATCGGACGATTGGAAAATGTCTTAGATGAGAATGGGAAACATAATGTGTTTCTTGGGGCAGTACTTTCTATTGCCCTTGATATTGCAATTACCATACTGGACTTTCCAATAATTTGTATTTGAAAAACGGACCGGGCCAGAAAGAGAAGTGCCTCCTGTCTCTGTTCAGGAGGATATGACAGTGCCAGTTCGGTGTGAAGTGGGTTGGGGTGGGGTCTGAAGCTCATGTAGAGGTCGTCCTGTGCGGGCCGTTGGGAGATGGCAGGCGTCGTACTCTCGCCGCCCCCTGCATCCCCCTGCCGACCCGCTCCCAGGCGCCCCACTGCGCAATAGTGCTGGGCTAGTAAAAATCTAGGTTGCGATGATGGCCCTTCTTATTGAGATAATATATAAGAAGACAAACACTCCGCCCCCGCTCCCCGCCTCCCTCAGCGGCCCGACCACCACCCCGGGGGGCGTCGTGGCGACAGGTCGCTTGTGGAATGGACTGGGCTGTGCCCATGCAGATGCGGGAAGAGGCGCCGGGTGGGTGCAGAGCGCACGTTGGTAGCGCTCGACACGCGGGAGTAACCTGGGACACCCCCCCCCACCTCCCTCCCCCTTTACATCGACTTTGCGATATTGTCCTTTAATATTGATGTAATTGCCATTTATATCACAAGTGGCCTCCCCAATTTAAGAAGTACTTCCCTAATCTAGATGGATCTGAACAAACAGAAGGCACCAAAGAGAGCCCAAAGAAACTGTCCAACAACTAGTGAGAACTTCTAGCTATCTTGTAGCTTGGACAGGTAGCGTCTGGGCTGCCGGGCGCAACGTGCATTTGCACATTTGACTCTTTCTCATTCCTTTTAAAGGATTTATATGCTTTTATCCGCCGCGCCCTCCCGCTCGGCGCCCACCCAATAACCATTGGTGCAAACTTCTCAACTTTACCGGGGAATGGAAATTAGTGTCAATCCTCTATGGCCTTTTCGCTTTAGCGGGGAATTTTAACTCCTGTCTTTACGAATCTGCTCTTGGGATTCTGTCTCGATAAAAACCAATACAGTTTCTATAGTTCAGTTGAGACCAAGAATTATGGCGATATCTTTACAATACACTTTTCCTTTAAGTTCCTCTGGAGATAGACATTTTGGCACTCCTTGGTTGGGTAAACTTCAGGAAGCCTTCTGCCGAGGCAAGGCAAATGATAAACAGCAAAAATGTTCATCTGGTCCTTTGTTAAATCAAACAGAGTCTATTTTCCCTATGAAGGTCTTTCTTTTTTTAGAATTTCCTTGGTTAAGTTGTTGTGTCTTTATGATATGAATCAATGCCCTCACAAATCATAGGGTTCTTTCCCTTCCAATCTCTTGCTACATCAATCTCATATTAGGATCTCTATAACCACGGTCTTGTACTGATGCATTACTTTAATCTTGTCTCTTCCTCTTAGTAATGCTTCATACCTAAACACCTTATAGGGTTAGTTCAACTAAAGTCTTCTAAATTCGGAGTTGAGTCCAAACTTCTTTCGAAAGCCTAATTTCTAAACCATTTTGAGCCAATCTCACCGAATTCAAGCTCTGGTAGATGATCCTCACATTCATTTCGTGCCTCTTTCTGAATTCTACGGCAATAAATTGAGTTCATGCCTACTCATTCAGGCTTTGACCTCAACCTTGCCAAGTCTGCCATGGCAAACTTCTGCGCTCCCCATTTAGACAGAATGGGCATGAAATGCCTCTTCCATTTTTGGTTGCAAGTTTTGCGATAGAGCCAGGGATGCTAAGTCGTTAATAATACCATACAAAAGCTGCCCCCAATTAGAGAATTTGGCGGGGAACAGTCTTACTTCGATCGTAATCATTTATTAGTAAATTCACCACATTATAGCAGCCGAACCTAGCAATATGCTCTACCAATTGACTGGTTTTTATTCCCATAAAAAAAAAAAGCAAAGCGTGGTATCCTAAACCCTCTTAGGTATTCAATCTACCCTATCTATCCATGTCTGGCATATGGCTTTCTTGTACCAGGCAGTTTGGAACCCCACCAATGCCATCATGTCACACAACATGTTCATACCAAACAAATAATACAGCAAAGGATTCGTGGTCGGCGCGTAGATCACCATATTTGTGCCTTTGTGTGAACCACTACTGGAGGAACAAACCACAGGATTTGGTAGACAAAGCTTGTGCCCTGAGGTCCTCTTAGTCCATAACGGTGGCATATTTAGGACTGGTGTCCTTGGGTGCTGGCTTGCTGTTAAGGGGTTAATGATAAACACCACCTCTGCGCTGATGCCTGCGACATTAAAGGACATGCGAAAGGAATGCTGGAACAGGTGTTGTGTCATCTATCCAGTCGCAGGATAAACCCTTCCAACCCCCTGAAAAGGAATAAAACCAAAAATATAAAACAAAAACAAAGATTCCCCGTCCGACACCCCTTCCCCTTGTGCATGGTACTGGCTATTCGAACATGGGATTTTGAAGCAGTCCTTCATCTGCCATTTTCTTGCTGTTGGCCCCGGTATCCACCAATTGCATGGAATTTCATTGTTTAGCTACTGAGGCAACTCTATGATTTCGCCACACAGCTCGAAAGTGAAGGCTCATACCAAGACTGGTGGTCGCATGGTCTTTCCATAGTTTTCGGCAAACTAAGCTTTACGACCATTAGTTGTCCATCATTCTGCATAGGCTGTTTATCTCTAACCAATCTATTGCCAGGAGGGAACATCTTTGAAATTTCCTCTATCGCTAGCCTTCGCGTAGATTGGTTGATGAAGCTATTACACTAAACAAAAGAAAAAAAC